CCTCTGTCCATCCGTTCATATCTGCCAGTAACTGAAATTGTGCTCTATATGCTTCCCACGGTGCTTTCCCATCATATTCCTATGGCTTCCTTCGTACTAGATCACCCCTATTGCTGACATTCATATCTGGGATGTGACTTCTAACAGGACTGAATATGTCTGCATTAGGGTTTAGCTGCAGGGTCTGGAAGGGGCTTGTCATTGTCTGGGGCTGGTTAAGTCGATGATTAATGTATCCTCTTGTGTAAAAGACAATAAATCATCCTTTAATGTATCTAATTCACTTTTAAATTTACTAATGTTTTCCATTTGTACTTCTTGCCACTGTTGTAGTATCTCTTTTTGTTTATGTTCTTTCTCCTCCAATAGCTATTGTAATCTCGCTTCTTGTTTACTTTGCTGTTCGAGCTGCCACTGTTGCAAGTTTTCTTGCCACTGCTGTAATCTCTCATCTTGTTTCTTTTCTTTTTCCTCCAACAACTGCTGTAATCTCGCTTGCTTATTTTGCTGTTCCTGCTGCCACTGTTGCAGATTTTCTTGCCACTGCTGTAATCTCTCTTCTTGTTTCTTTTGTTTTTCCTCCAACAACTGCTATAATCTCTCTTGTTTATTTTGCTGTTCCAGCTGCCACTGTTGCAGGTTTTCTTGCAACTGTTGTTGTCTCTCTTCTTGTTTCTTTCCTCGTTCTTCTTGTTTCTTTTCTTTTTCCTCCAACTGCTGTAATTTCTCTTCTCGTTCTTCTTGTTTCTTTTGCTGTTCTTGTATTGCTGCCATCAAATCTGCTAAGCTGTAGTTTGATTTGCCGCTTCTCGTTTCCATTTTTTTATCCCACTTCTGACACCAATTTGTTACGTCTGTGGTCGTTAGCTCATTTTCCGTAAAAATTCTTTCCGAAGAAACTTTAGCGATGCAAGTCCTTTCTTAAATAAAATTGGTTTATTCTCTCTGAATACAACTTTGCAATACACTTAATTTCCACAGTCGCGCTATAACAAACGCTATAATTCACAATGAACGTCTCACGTGCTTGACTCAACAATACCTCTCTCTCTCTGTCCGCAGTTCAATTACCCATTACATTGTTGCCGTCACGTCTTGACCGTCTTATATGTACAAGAATACCGAATCTAGTAACCTCTCGAGGTTTCATGAACGTTCTAGAAGTGCATGACGTGTGACTAGCGTCACGTGACCTCCGCTGTCGTAACAATTCATTTGAGGATTTCATTTCGAACTCTGATCGCATAGCTTAAAAGAAAACCGCATTCACAGAATTTAAAATGTATTGTGTGTAGCAGTTTGAACATTTAGCGTGAAATTTCTCTGCTAAATAGCATCCTTTTTTCATAAGTCATAAAAATGAAAAGAATAGAAAAATAGCAAAGAAAAACAGATTGATATTAAAATTGGAGCACACTATGGAAAAAAATGAAACTCTATAGGAAAGAACAACGTTCTCTCACTCTTGTTGGTTGTAGGTTCTCCAGATTGCAGATTAATCTCCTTTCCAGTCGTTCTCTTTAGTGAATGTCCCAGAATCGAAAAGTCCTCAACTGTATGGTTGTTGATGGTAACATGTTTGCCTCTAGGTGTATCTTGGTTCTGCAGTTTAATATGGTTCAGATGGTCTCGTGCTGGATCATTGAATCGGCGGTCCATTTGTACAATGTATAAAATAATAGGCAGGCAAACAACGATTTCTAAGCATAAGAAAAAAAAGTTATTGATGGTAGAACATATTACATCTTTCGACAGAACATCAGTTTGTCTTCTTCAGGTGTGATCAGTAATAAGCAATCCAAGGTTTATATACCGTTACAAAGATAATAGGGATTAAATATGACGGAAAATAAACTTTTCTTATGCTTATAAATTGTTGTTTTTTACCTATTACTATATAAGCATAATGTGCTTCCTTACTCAAGCAATGTATAAAATATTGCATTTTTAGCAAATTAGGCAGTAAATAATACATTTGGTGACGCACGTAAAGAATCACCTTATGCTGAAAGTTATGTTTTTTGCTTGTATAGGTGTGGTGCTGTTTATAAGTGGGCTGTTTTGTTTACATGTTTGAGTGCATGGAATATCATTTTGATTTTGTTTAAGGTTACTGTGTACCAGGATTTCTTTCAGGTTTTGTCATGTTTGTAAGAAGTAATGGGTGGGTTATTGAAAACATATTTAGTGGTAGGGTGTTCAATAAGTATTGTGTAACTGTTTAATATAATATCTTTGATCTTTTAGTTGGTCTGATGGCATGTTAGCACAAGTGGAATATGATCTGTGTGTTCTTTCTTGGTAGGGTTGAGTGTTTGTTCCAAGGTATATAAACCAGCTTTTGTGGCTGTATCAGCTTTGCCAAAATACAGTTGTCACACTGAATGTATCTTCACTGCACAGAATGGCTA